AGAGCACTTTTGGGTGCCTACTGTGCAGGAATATACCTCATGCCGACATGCTCTCTGTGTCCCTGCAGTCAGTCTGGCCATCAACGATGCTAGAGATGTGTAAATACTGAGTACCTGAATTGCCTGCAGTTGTGTTGATTAAGTCACCAACCTGGGATTTTAACCAGATTTGGGTGTCTTTCTTCCCTTCTCCTGGCTTCCTCGTTACATAATGATTTCTCAAATCTGAAACTGGGGTGAAAAAGGCCTGGGAATAGCAGTTAAAAACAAAACAAAGCAACAACAACAACAACAAAACTAGAGTCTGGTAAATGCCAGTTCATAATGGGTACAATTGGCAGGAAGTCTTCAGCAGTGACCATAGTGAGGTGCATTTGAGGCTGCCTTTTGGTGCCTGGCTCTGTGGCATCTGCTCTCCTTTTGTATGTCCAGGCATGGAGAGAAAACCTGGTGTGGACCAAAAGTGTCCTCCTCAGATTTTCTTCCCTGGCAGATTTGAAACATCTTGCTTGGAAAACGCAGGGTTTGAGTAACGGGAGGGAAGTGCAGACTGTCACTTGAATGCACGCATATGCACTTCCTTGAAGGGGAGGGAGGTCAGTTTCAGCTGTCAAGTTTGTTTCCCACTTTGCTGCACTTGGAGGAACGCACTTGGGTGGGGTCTGTGGAGCAGATGGGTAGGTGGGAGTGTAGTGAGGCCATCACACACTGCTTATTTGTTTTCTCACATCCTTTCCCCTGTTGTGATGGAAAAAGAGTGTGGAAGTGAGGCAGGGTGTTCTCAGTTTGAAACATTACAGTTTCACCCTGGGCAGTAACTCCCTGGAACTGTGTTCCTTCTCCCTGCAGTGGGGATGGTTGTTTATGGCTATTTCTACCGTCATTATGAGCATGTATGCATTTTCTGTAATGGATACATGAGGCAGCAGTTGACCAAAGGGTATTTCGAGTGTAAACGCTTGCAGCCTTCAATAGACTCTCAGCAGTCTAAATTGTGTGTCCCTAAGTCCTCAAGAGAGAGGAATTTGTTTTGCCTGTGGCCTATCATCTAGCAAAACTCATTGCCCTAGGGAGTAGGAGAACTACTTTCTGGAGTTGTTCCCTGCACCAGCTTGGGCAGAGTCCCTCGTTTTCCTCATTTGTGGATGTGAATTAAGTTTGGCACAGACTGTAGACTAGTTGAGGCAAATTATAGCACTTTGAAGAAGAACATAAAACAGTGTAGTCCTTTGTCCCATTTGGCATTAGTATTGCGCTCTTCTAATAGAAAATTGTTTAGTCCAACTGGTAGGACTAAACAAAGTGAGCCGATCACTTTGGGGGTTAAAGGAAGAGGATTGCAACTTGGAGGACAGCTTGAATGATATGGTTGAGCCTTTGTGTTAAAAACAAAACAAAACAAACAAACAACAAAACCTTTGTAATGTATTCTGTATGGACTGGCGAGTAAAATTTCCCTAGATCAGTGACTAAAATTCAGGTGATATTAGGGGAAATGTACAAATGTAGAATTGTCAAAGAATTGAGAGTGGCTTCTTTACTGACATTGTCTAGAAAGTGTTATGTGAAAGATGCTGTGATAGGAAGACCCCACCCCAAGTTACAGCAGGTGTTTTCCCATGCAAGCAGTGGCCTGGAAAGATGCCTTTCTTGAGGTGGATAGTCACCTGCAGACTGTACACAAAGAACTGTAGCACAGGACAGTGAGGAGGAGCTCCTTGAAGATCCCTCTTAGACTAAAAGAAGGAAAAGTGTTTTGAACCATATTTCCTGTGGAAATTCATTGCTTTATGAAGGGCTAAGACAGCACAGGTGTCAGGAGGCAACTAAAAAGCACAGGGCTGGGAATTTAGCTTCATTGGTAGAGTGCTTATTTAGCATGCCTGAATCCCTGGGGTTGATGCCCAGCACTGCCTAAGGGCACGGTTGTCCATGCTTGTAGTAGAGGCAAGAGGACCAGAAGTTTAGGATCATCTATATTGAGTTAAAGGCCAACCTAGGAATATGAAACCCTATCTCAAAAACATTGCCCCTCCCCCAAGACAAAATAAAACCCCAACTAACCAAAACCAGAACCTACCCACAAATTATATAAATGTTTGTTTCCTTTGTGGAGGACACTGGTACCTGGTATTCTTTTAGGAGCAAAGTAGCAAGTTGTGAAAGAACACACTGGAAGACCTTAGAAGGGAAGATGAGGTCAAGCTATGAAGATGCTGACAGAGGACCTCTTTTAGATTGGATTTTGTAGACTCCCACCCTCCCAGTTAGCAAGAACTGTATCCCCAGACTTTATTTTCTGGAGAGGCATCATTTAACATCTTGGTTTTCACCTGCTTGAACAGTAGAGGTAAAGAGAGATCATGCCTCAAGAATTGTACTCATATTTTAGGGAGATCTTTCTTTCTGTTTCCTACCTAGTCACCCCATGCTAAGAACACCAATCACCATGCTGTTCCTCCAGGGGTGAGTTGGCCCCTGGAGTATTTCGTTGTGGATTGATTCACTTAAGAAATGTAGTTTTGGGTCAGGAAGGCTGGAAATCCTTAAGTATGGAAACAAGTATGGATAACATACTTTTGATTCTTATAGATTGAGTGTATTTTTTTCTTTACAGTCACAGGAAAAATAAAAACAAAGTGTGGCCATTAGTGTTCCTAGGTGGATGGATCCCTTAAGTCACATACATTTTATTTTTCTAGGACAAACTGTCTAAAGGTTCCATTGATCTCATCGCAGGTATTTCTGTGTAGTTCTGTCACTGACTTAATGAGTTCACTTAGCTCTGTTGGATTTCTGAGTTCCTGTACTCATTGTCACTGAAGCAGAAAACCTCTCTATATAGACCCTGCTTTCCTGGGAGCAGTGCAGTCTGGGCAACGGCAGGAGTGTGGTGCTAATGGTGTCCATGTCCTGGCTATCTTAAAAACCTGTTGGCTTTGAGGTAGCTGGCAAACAGCTCACATTGGCCATGTGCCTGTTTTGAGGACACTAAGATGTGAATTGAATATCATCTGTAAATGGTAGCTCTTCATGGTCTCAGGTCTACATTGCATGTTTGCGCAGGAACCAGATTTCTTTTCCTTGTTTTTCCTTTTCTTTTCCCTAGAAGTTTCATGGAAATCTTATTTAAGGTTAAAGAGGAATCGGTTAATTGAAATACTAGTTTACAAGCCTTACTGTATGTTGGTACCATTCTCTGGGCCTCATAGGTGCTTGTGTTGAGGGCTAGAGAGATGGCTCATCAGTTAAGCATATTTTACTCTTGTTAGAGGGCCCAACTTTTATGGCTGTTGGCATCTCCAGCTTCAGGGAACAACACCCTCTTCTGGACTGTGGGCACCTGCAATGACACACAGGCAAACCTATAAACATATAATTAAAAGTAAAAAGAAACCTACTTATGTCTGTTATGTATAATTAACATATGAAAATAGAGATTAGTAAAAACTACTGATGTGTGAGTCTCACTAATGGTCATTCTGGTGAATTTGTGTGTAAATAGACATAAGGATGGTCCAGATCCTGTGGGATCTGACAGTATCATCCAGCTTGAAAGTTACCCTCAAGGAGTGGGAGAAAATGATTACTTCAGGGATGCATTAGGCAATGTTAAGAGTTAAAACAAAACAAAACAAAATAAGAAATATCTATCTAAAGATAGATATTTGATTCAATCCAAAGCAGGAAGATGCAAAAAAACAGAAGGTGAGAATAAAAACCTGTTGCATGGTAGAATTCTTAACTTAGGGAATGGCTGTGATGTACAGAATGAACATTTGTGGAGAAGGCTCTCTACACCGTGGGTTAAGGTTGAGCAGTGACTCAGTGACTTCTGGAGTGGAGGAGGCATAGATGTGCTGCAGTGTTGCTTGAGTCTCTATTCTCAAGCCTAATTGTTTGTTGGTTCAATGCAGGCCATTTGCTTTGATCTCTGGCTTTACCAGTTACAAAGACTTGATGAGCTTGGCTTCCTGGAGTGAAATTCAAATACACTTGTGAAATGTAAACAACATTCATTTATTAAGAATCCTATAATCAAGGCAAATTGGCATGCTTATATAAGCAATTAGCTTTGAGAATAGAAAGATAAATAGGATGCTAGGTCAAGAATGAGCTGATTGTTCTCAGTGTTAGAGCCTAGTTATCCCTGTATGAGTTAACATAAGCAAGTACACATTTCTCCTATTCATAATTGTTCACATTTGTGGTCTTAGTTTTGAGGGCAGCATATGTGCTGTTTGGGGAACTGGGAGGATAGAAGCAAGTATTGTCTCATTTTCTTCTAAAAATGTAATTCTTCCAAGGAAATGTAGGTAGGTGATTTTATTTTGACCAGATACAAATTTCTAGCAATTGAGGAAAGGGTAAAAGAAGGTCTGCATTTGGATGGGACTATTAAGAGAAAATAATTTTGTTGTTGTTGGGGAAGGTAGACGAGATGACTAACAATAGCAGAAAAATTGGCAACAATTTCCCTCCCTCTTTCCCTTCTTCCTTCTCCCAATTCTCTCAAGATAAGGCCTTCTGTAGTTCAGACTAGTCTCCAACTGACTGACCTTGGACTTCTGCCTCCTCTCGACCAAGCTACACACCCAGCCCTTATTTAATTCTTTGAGTTCTGTTGCTTCCCTTTTGTGTAAAGGGAAGCATTTCGATAACCAATGGTAGAGGTTGGCTGTTGGATGATCCTATTGGCATTATGGCAGCACTCACTTTGTCCAGCAAGATCAATCCTGTCAAATGTCTTGTTTGTGAAATCTAGGGAACCAAAGTCTAAGTGCAATGGATCAGGTGATCTCAGCATTATGGGTTAGTTGCGACTGTGGCTCTTTCAGCATTGCTGAGCTCTTGAGAGAATGTTCTCTCTTGACTAATTGGTATTCATTATTCCCGTGGACTTCTTTTCTTTCTGGTCAACCTAGGAAGCCAGTGCAGCCCTAATGTGTTGGGACCAACGTGCCGTGAACTTGTCTGCTGCCCACCAATCAGACCTTCCAGGGACTTATCACTGCATGGCCTCCAGGGTTTGTGAAACCTTCAGCTTGCCTTCTAGCACCCTTTTTAAGTAGAATGTTTGAGTCTCAGGGTTCATTCTTCTGAAAACCTTTGTTTGGCTTAGAGATCTCTAATCATCTGTGAACCAACCGGTTCCAACCCACATTTAAAGATGTAGTCCTTTCGTATTAGCCACCTGTTTGTTTTTGTTTATTTTTTTTCTTTTTAATTAATGATAACTATCAGATATCCTGAGGCTGATTTCCTATTTTTCTGTTGATAATGGAGAATTAAAAAAAATGGTTTTGGTTTGTTCTTTGGGATGATATTGCTTAGTTGTCTATTAAAAATTCTTTTTAGACTGAACATATCATCTGGGTATTCCCAGATCAGGAATCAGATTCTCACCCCCACCCCCGCCTCCAGTTGTTCCTCAAGCCAAGTTTGACTGTGCCTAACACCAGAGCCTGGTCTCCTAGTGGACATCCTTAGGTGGAGGAGAGCTCACCACAGGATTGTGGTCTGGTTCTAAATGCCCATAACTATCAAGTTTCCACTTTCTTTGAGAGATCTCTTCAGACAAAGAAAACATAAGCATTGGGCAGTATGGACAGAGGTGCCTTCCTGTCGATGGGTACATCAGAGTCAGTCACTTCAGAGGTGTGTGTAAGATAGAGTCCTGCTTTTCATAGTACCAAAAAGAGGGCATTGTGATTTGTGCTTCTGGAACAAAGCGTGAATGGGGAGGGATTTACAGAGTGAAAGCAAGCACAGCTGGGGCTTGCTGAAAGCAAGCACAGCTAGACACTTACTGCCTCAAGTTTTCTGTTTTCCCTCCCAAGCCATGGTGCTAGCCTTTGATTTTTTTTTTTTTTTAACTTTCGTGATGACTCTTGAAATATGAAAAGATCTGACTGTGAACTTTTTTTCTTGTGGGCTTCTCTTTTTTTTTGGGGGGGGGTGTTCTTAATCTCTGTGCCACGTCTCCAGGTTGGGGGGGGTGTTCTTATCAAGCCCCTAAAATGTTATTCTAGGCATAACATAGGTCCAACTCCAGAGCTCAATGGCTGTGTTTGTTGTTTTTTGGTTTTTTTGAGGCAGGGTCTCACTGTGTATACTTGAGTGTCCTGAACTCGCTTTGTAGACCAGGCTGGTCTCAAACTCATAGAGATCCACTTGCTTCTGCCTCTCAAGTGCTGGGATTAAAGATGTGTGCCACTACTCTCGGCTGCTGTTTATTGTTAATGGTCACACTTTCATGCCTTGCTGTCTAACTTGTGTTCTGCCTAGACTTTTCACCCACGTGGCCACAGTTAGCTCAGACCTGCCTGTGTGCCCTTCCAGGCTCATATCAGCTTGGAGACGTTGGGAAAACAATTCCCTTTCCTTTGATCTCTTTATTTTATGAACCAGCTCAAGCTCACAAGGCGCTTGCTTGCTTAAGTAGCACTCTTGTAAGGTGTGGCTGTTCAATCAGGCTGCCTGGATGCATGGCTTTGTCGTTGCTTTTCCTAGTTTCAGCCATCTGTTTACATCTTTGTTTTATCTGCGACTTCACACTCAGAGCTCCGGGAAGGCATGGTCCGGGCAGCTGCTTCTGCAGGGCAGGGCCTGGTCTGAGAGGGTACCAGCATGGACCCTTTGATCAGGGAGCTCAGTCAACTGAAAGAACATGGACAATTGGGAGTAGCTGCCTGAGAACCTACTGAACAGACCACACTGAGCTGACGGTTAATTGCACACACTTGACTTTGTGTTGAAATGATACTGTCATAGGTTCTTACTCATCTTGGTATTCCCCATGCCATTTGGTTGTAGTTAGTACCCAAGAATACCTCATGCTCAGAGATAACAAGTAGATGCCAAGTTCTGCTTGACTTAAGAATTAGGAGTAGAAAAGGAGGACAGCAGATGTGGCAGGAGACAACCAGTGAGTTATCCCTGTCTTTTAGCCAGATTTGGTTTGGGGCAAAAGATAGTCAAGTGCGTAGCAAAGGGCTTTCTAAGAGCAATGCGTCCAGTGTGATTGTTCTTTCTTCTTTTCTTTCTCCTTCCTTCCTTCCTTCCTTCCTTCCTTCCTTCCTTCCTTCCTTCCTTCCTTCCTTCCTTCC